ATTAGATTAGAACACTAAAAGCTCTTGAATTTTCTCCCACGAACTTGAGTATAACAGGTACACATGAAATATTAGTAAATTTTCTGTTTAAAAAAATAAATAAACTTGGGTCTCATTCCCAAGTTATATCACTATGTATACACAAACATTCCATATTTTGAAAAAAATTAAGAACCCAACATTTTTGGTTCCAAACATTTTGCATAAGGGTTGCTTGGCTTCCATTGCTCTTACAGGAATTCCACAAGAAATGGAAGCGATGTTCAAATTTAGTAGTTACTAATAAATTTTCTTAGCAAAAGACAATCATAGCTTTGCATTGGCCCCTATTCTTCCTCAGGACTGTTTGCACTATTTGGCTCCATTTGTGACTGGTCAAATTGAAATGTCAGTTATGGGCTAGTTGCTGTCAGCCGGTGAAGACCTGAGTTTGAACCCTGAGACCCACGTGATGGAAGGAGAGAACTGACTCCAACAAGTCATCCTCTGACCTCTACACATATGCTGTGGCACCCATATGTCTGCATACACATATGTCACATACACACACACACACACACACACACACACACACACACACACACAATAAAAATGCATTTTAAAGTGTCTTTAAAGTTATAATTCCATATGCTTGGATCAAATTGTTTTTCCCTTGTGCAAAGTTTCTGGTTTAAAAGTCCTTAGAATAAATAACATTTTCCCCTTCACATATCATCTATTTCTAACTCTACACCAATGCTGTGTAGATTTGGAGATTCAGAGAAATAGGGTGTCTTCTCTGTCACTGAGTGCCACTGTAATTTTTGAGAAAGAAAATGAAGCCTTGCCCAATAATTACCCCTTTCTCTGCCCACCCCAAAGCTATTAGAAGGAAGAGGTCTGGCAAGCCAGTTTTAAGACCCTAAAAGTTGTCTTGGCCTGTTATCACAGTTCAAGGGACCCTTCCTAAAACACCACCCTTTCTCTACATAGTAGATTCCTGCAATCACAAAACTAATGAAGGCAAGTGGTGGCCTGTGCTGCTCCTTGCTAATGGCAGTTCCTCAGACCTCTGTGTCCTTAGCAGAAGGGGGTTCCTTTGGACTCCACGAGCTGCTATTGCATTTACCACAGGTAGAATCAATCTGTCTTTGTGAAGTTAGACCAGACACCTGCCTGCCACACCCTAAGTGCAGCCTGCAAGGGCTGTTTGCTGTGACCTCTATGCCCAGTGATTCTCTGGGTTCTTTCTTCTGCCTCGGGGATTTTGAACTTACTGTCCCCTTTGCCTACAAGGCTCTTTTTTTCTGAACTCATGTGGCATTGCATATTCCCTTGTCCTGCTGCATGTGTCCTTTGCTTCAAATCCCTACCAGACCGACTAGGTGGTTTGTTTGCCTGTCTTTTTCTTGCATGGCTTCCCTATGAAGAGGCTAGTTTTCAGAATGAGGATTTTTGTTTCATTCCCCATTGTTTTCAGACTCAGAAACAGTAGTGAAAGAAAGCTGCTCTTCATAGACAATGGCTGGAGGAGTGAGCCCCAGTTTGTCAGCCTGCTCCAGTGGGCAGAAGCAGGGACCCTGTCTGGAGTCCTTGCAGTCACTAGCTCTGGGTTCCCCACCCCTTGCAGTCACTAGCTCTGGGTCCCCAACACCTGCCACTCACTAGCTGTGTGCCCCCCCTCCTTGAAGCCACTAGGTCTCAGGCGAGAGAGTGGGAGTCTCTTCACACTCGCCAGCCCCAGTACTGCACATTAATGTGTAAAATATGCCCACTTAGCAGTGGCTTCCAAAAGCGTGAGCACTGCCCTCGGACTTATTCAGCAGCAGTTTCAGCGGCTCATAGCCCATCTCATATTTTCAAAAGAACATTGTCAGCATGTTTGGTATGCTTTTGGAATAAAAGCTTATTTCACCCTTGGAATCCTGTGTGCCCTGCTCTGTGTAGTAAGCACCCAGTTTGAGTTTTTTCAAGACTGATTTTGGCACCTAGAAATGGATTCAGCTTCTATTTCTGTCTCTCAAATCTATAGACTCCTGTGGCTTTGAACTTAGGGTTGTTTCTTGGAGCCAGGGCCCACTGAGCTTAAAACCAGAGGCTGTGCAGAGGAGCCCTGACCTCCCTCCCCACCACAGCCCACCTTACCCTCCACTCCTCACCACATTATCTAGTTCTTTAAAGCAAATTTGGAAATTTTAAAACAAGCAAACCCAAATGATAATGAAAGCCTAATAGATTCTTTCAAAACAACCCAAAGGCTTCAGAGGGCCCTGAAATACAGAATGGCTTCTGAAAATGGAGAGGAAAAAGGTCCATCCTCTGGGACAGCGAGTTTCAGGAAATAAGAATGAAGGCAAGGGTTCCAGTTTGGTAGTAAACACACTTAGGACAAGCCAACACATGGCATGTGTAGTGGATTGCAGCCTCTTAGTGTTCTCCAGATTTCTGGGAGTCTTTGAAACTTTTTGGTATTTTATTTTGTGTGTGTGCACACACAAAAGCTAGGGATATCAACGGAACTTCACACATGCTAGGAAAATGCCCTACAACTGAGACACACCCCTAGCCCCAGCAAACAGAACTTTAATACAGAGCAATTATACCATTACTCCTTACTCCCAAGTTCACAGTTTTCAGAAGTAAATGGATCCTTCTTAAGTACTCTGTATACTTGAGCTTAAAGCACTAATACACTTTTTCTGTTGTTCCCTAAACAAACAGAGGCATTTCATTCTCCAAGGTGCTATCTGCACCCATTTAAAAGCACTCTTGATTTTTAAAAATCTTTTTCCATTAAACTCTACAAAATTCCCCTGATAATGAGAATGCCATTGTTACAGGAGCTTTTCTTTGAACCAAGTCACCTTGGAGAAAACTCTGCACTGTCAGTAAAAGCTTGAAGCTGTTGACTTTTGATTAGAGCTAAAAGATACTAAATAAGTCTTCACGTGGGGGTCCAGCCTGGAACAATGAGTCTTAAAGACAGCTAGCAGGAGAAACAAAACACTTTGAGTTGAAAAACTGTGGCAACAATGGGTCCTCCCTTGTGTTAGCTCACTTCTCAGTGGGTGGAAATTTAAAAGTAAATGACTTTAAAACAAGCTTCCTTACACCCTGCTTTCCAAACAACCCTTCCCATCCTTAGCAAGGGAACTCTGAGCCAGTTTTGAGTCCTTGAATTAAATCCCACCCACAAAAAAAGAGAAAAGATCCGAGGCACTGCAGGTTTTCCTTCCTCCACTAACCGCATGCTTTTAAATAAAATAAAAAACAACATAAAAATTGCATTGCTTGATAAGCTTCTGAGATTTATTTTCCTGAGTTAGAAACCCTTTAAAGCTAGAATTATGTTGTTGAACACATGAACAATTATTCTATCTTGTAGACTAAGACTCAGTTGTTAATGCTGAAAAGCAATATGCCTGCTGTTTTCTGAGAATGACTCATTTTGCAAACCTTAAATTCACAGTCAGCATCTAAGGACTCTCAGCCCTGCTTCTCCTTTTTTCTTATCTGAGGTCAAAGACCTCAGGAGAGCCTGAGGAGGGTTACAAGGTCAAAGTCTTTTCCTCCTTGGAACTTGCTGCTTGCTGGGAGAGGGCTGCCTGCAAAAGAGAAGCTTTGGGGGGGAGGTTGGGGGTGGGTCACATTTTTAATTCTGTGAAGGAACAGCTGGTTTGAATTTCTTTTCACTCCTGTCTCGAGCTGCCTTCCTCACAAACCCATGGAGAGGAGGATTTATCCAAAGAAGCCAACAACATGAAGAATCCACCTTCCATTACTATGAGGCTAGACATGTGTTGTTTTGTGGCATAGCTGAATTTGTTCACTGGCAGAGAGGCTCTAGACTTTTTGGAGTTAACTCTGTCTGAAACCTGCCAGAGCCTTTGTCTGGAGAACCCTCTTCTAATAATATTTTTTAACTAAAACTCTAATGGAAATAAGTATCCTAAGATCTGGTGGGTTATATGAAGACTGAGTAAAATGGCAGGGGTGTAAC